TAATCCTGTGACATGTACAGTAACAGGATGTGTGTAATACGGGGGGCCCTGTTACCTGAGCCTGATAATTCTGTGACATGTACAGTAACAGGATGTCTGTAATACAGGGGGCCCTGTTACCTGAGCCTGATAATCCTGTGACATGTACAGTAACAGGATGTGTGTAATATGGGGGGACCTGTTACCTGAGCCTTTGTTATCCATTTTTCTGCCTATACAGGGGAAAATCAGTGAAAATGTATATGTCAGAATTGCCCGCACTTCTCAGGATGAATTCAGTGAACTATGGATTTCCCAACAGAAAATGGTTCCAGCCTGAAGCACATGTGTCACTTTGTTCCAATCTCTTGCCCCTTTCTGCACATGCATCTTCCACCACACATTCAGTCTTTGTTTATCACAGCCAGTGTTTTGTGTCTGGGGCCAAAAATGTACTGCACCTGCCACAGCTGTGAGTGAAGAGCATAATTGTGGCACTGTCGTCTGCAGGAGAAAGCGTACTGTGTCACAAGGAAGGAGGTGAACATGCAGTTGACATTGCAGATGTTCTCCAGTTTGCTTAAATTATGATTCATGCTATTTTGAACATTACACAGGAAACTGAAACAAAGGCTCTAAACTTGTTAAACCACACAAATGTGAAAATTACACACCAAAAGTGTGATGTGACGGTTTTCGAGAGGTGTTTGGGAACATGGTCCCAAAATGTTATAAACACATTCATGTGAGCCTAGCCTTCAAGTGAAGGAGGAAATTACAACTGTAGCAGAAGAGTCAGAATTCCAGGATGTTAGTGAAGAAGGCATAGTAGAATTGCTGGAATCCCATTCTGTGTTATTAATGAATGAGGAACTGGCAGGGTTGACCAGGCAGACATACAAATAAACACACGATGACCACGACGATGAGAGTGTGATTTTATAATAAATACCGAAACAATTAGAATATTTAAGAGAAACTAGCAGAATTAATGAGGCTGTGGATTATTTTGGTGCCATACTCCTTTCTGTGTTCATTCTGCCAAAGTTCAGTGTGAACTGGAAAACGTGTTATCGTGCTGTAAAGAAATTTTAGGGGAAAGAATGTGAGCTGGAACCACAGAAGCTTGCAAAGTGCAGACCATTCAGGCAGGTCCTTCCAAGTTTCAGTGTGTGTATATGTACTCATGTGTGCACACAGAATGTTCTGTATATTTTGGAAGGCAATAACAGCTGCGAACTCAAGGTAGTGATATGTTAAATTTATATATGTAAAATATTGTTATTTCAATACAGTGTAGTCATTAATTTGGAATGGGTGCAGGAGTTGCTTTTTAGTTTGCTGAATTGCAGTTCCTTTTTTGAATCATGTCATGGTGGGCATGCTACCTTCTCAGTTTACAGACGCGTATGGTAACCTCGAATGTAGCAGCCCTTATAAACTCTTGTTTGCATTATTTGTTGTGGGTGGAAATCCATTCTTTAAGGGGATTTGCTTCAAGTGGTACAGTCCCAATTAACCACCAATAACCAGGACCCACTGTACCACCGTTGAATGCAGCAACCAGTGAAGCAGCGTTCTTTGGGAATTTGTCAGCAGAACAGTGTCTGGTGGTAATGTTTTGGGTTTACTTTCTTGGTGTCCAGTCTTGTCATAGCAAGACTTGTGGAGCAACAGACAGGATAACAAACTGCAGTTGGTGCAGCCATGTATTCCAGCATGGCAGTCATTCATTTTCATCAGGAAGGAGGGAATTATGCTTACATGCCTTCAATTTAGTCACAGTTGCCTGACATATGCATCTGTTCTCAGGTGTGTCCATACCTGCTTTTGTGCAGTTTGGTGTGTTCCTTACAATTTTACACACATGAAAGGACAAAAAAGCCAACTATTTTCTTTGTCTAGGAATGTTGCCTAGCATCCATGGAAGTGACTCACGTGGATTTCTTCATGGTATCAGAGTGACCATGTCTACTGAACTGACTATACTTGTCCTCTTGTGAGTCATTTTATATATAGTGTTGTTTCAAGAATTTCACTTTTAATCGGACACCTGTACAACCTGATGCTGATCAGAGTGACCACGTGGTCTAAAGCATGAAATGTCTTTGCTCATTTGAACACTGGGATTGTGGGTTTGATTCCACTCAAGGCATGAATGTTTGTTGGCATTTATTCTGTTTGTGTCTGTAGGTAGTGGCCTTGCAACAGTCTGATCACTTTTGCAAGGATTGCTACCAATTAAGATCAAGAAACTGAAGTGAAATGAAGGTTTCACAGATGCCATATGTTTGAAGTGGGAGCAACAGGAATAAAGATAGGTAGAACCTTACAAATGTGTAATTTAATTTAATTTTGTAATTTGTTAAACAGGAGCAGTGCACCACAGGAGGGCCTGTGCTCTCTCGCTCCCCCTCTCCTCTCTGTCACCCCTCTCATGCCAACCCCTTTAACATCTCACTGCACTGGGATGTCAAACCCATTTCTCTTCCTACTAGGATTTTTCATGTTATTTGCTCTCATTTTCCAGAGTACTTTGAATGAACTTCAACCTGTGCATGGTGAGGAGCGGCAGTATTCCTGTGATGAGTGTGGTGAGTCATTCAGTCAGCGGTTCAATCTGAAGGCACATAAGCGCGTACATAGTGGGGAGCGGCCATTTTCCTGCAGCATGTGTTATAAGTCATTCAGTCGTCAGAGTAATCTGAAGGCACATCAGCGCATACATAGTGGGGAACGGCCATTTTTCTGTGATGTATGTAATAAGTCATTCACTTGTCTGAGTAATCTGAAGACACATCAGCGCATACGTAGTGGAGAAGGGCCGTTTAGCTGTGATGTGTGTGATAAGTCATTCTGTGAGCAAGGTGATTTGAAGAAACATGGGCGCATACATAATGGGGAGCGACCATTTTCCTGCAGTGTGTGTTATAAGTCATTCAGTCGTCAGAGTAATCTGAAGACACATCAGCGCATACATAGTGGGGAACGGCCGTATAGCTGTGATGTTTGTAATAAGTCATTCAGTGAGCAAGGTTATCTGAAGAAACATGGGCGCATACATAGTGGAGAGCGACCATTTTGTTGCAACATTTGTAATAAGTCATTCAGTGAGCAAGGTTATCTGAAGAAACATGGGCGCATACATAATGGGGAGCGACCATTTTCCTGCAGTGTGTGTTATAAGTCATTCAGTCGTCAGAGTCATCTGAAGACACATC